ACCTTCCAATAGGACAACGACCCTAAGCACACAGCCAAGACAACACAGGAGTGGCTTCGGGACAAATCTCTGAATGTCCTTGAGTGGCCCAGCCAGAGCCCGGACTTGAACCCGATCTAACATCTCTGGAGAGACCTGAAAATAGCTGTGCAGCGAACGCTCCCCATCCAACCTGACAGAGCTTGAGAGGATCTGCAGAGAGAAATGGGAGAAACTCCCCAAATACAGGTGTGCCACGCTTGTAGCGTCATACCCAGATTGATGAGGGGAAAAAATAATATAATCCATTTTAGAATAAGGCTGTAATGTAACAAAATGTGGAAAAATTCAAGGGGTCTGAATACTTTTTGAATGCACTGTATACACTGAGTGTACAAAACATTAAGGACACCTGCTCCAGGTGAAAGCTATGATCACTTATTGATGTCACTTGTTAAATCCACTTCAATCAGTGTAGATGAAGCGGAGGAGACGTGTTAAAGAAGGATTTTAAAGCCTTGAGACAATTTGAGACATGGATTGTGTATGTGTGTCATTCACAGGGTGCATGAGCAAGACAAAATATTTAAATGTTTTTGTACACCGTGTGTGTGTGTGTGTGTGTGTGTGTGTATAAACTCAGTAAAAAAAAGAAACGTCCCCTTTTCAGGATAACTTCACGATCTTCATTGTAAAGGGTTTAAACACTGTGTCCCATGCTTGTTCAATGAACCATAAACAATTAATGAACATGCACCTGTGGAATGGTCATTAAGACACTAACAGCTTACAGACGGTAGGCAATTAAGGTCACAGTTGTGAAAACATAGGACACTAAAGGGCCTTTCTACTGACTCTGAAAAACACCAAAAGAAAGATGCCCAGGGTCCCTGCTTATCTGCGTGAACGTGTCTTAGGTATGCTGCAAGGAGGCATGAGGACTGCAGATGTGGCCAGGGCAATAAATTGCAGTGTCCGTACTGTGAGACGCCTAAGACAGCGCTACAGGGAGACAGGACGGACAGCTGATCGTCCTCGCAGTGACAGACCACGTGTAACAACACCTGCACAGGATCGGTACATCCGAACATCACACCTGCGGGACAGGTACAGGATGGCAACAACAACTGCCCGAGTTACACCAGGAACGCACAATCCCTCCATCAGTGCTCAGACTTTCTGCAATAGGCTGAGAGAGGCTGGACTGAGGGCTTGTAGGCCTGTTGTAAGGCAGGTCCTCACCAGACATCACCGGCAACAAAGTCGCTTATGGGCACAAACCCACCGTCGCTGGACCAGACAGGACTGGCAAAAAGTGCTCTTCACTAACGAGTCGTGTTTTTTTCTCACCAGGGGTGATGGTCGGATTCGCGTTTTATCGTCGAAGGAATGAGCTCTACACCGAGGCCTGTACTCTGAAGCGGGATCGATGTGGAGGTGGAGGGTGTGTCATGGTCTGGGGCGGTGTGTCACAGCATCATCGGACTGAGTTTGTTGTCATTGCAGGCAATCTCAACGCTGTGCGTTACAGGGAAGATATCCTCCTCCCTCATGTAGTACCCTTCCTGCTGGCTCATCCTGACATGACCCTCCAGCATGACAATGCCACCAGCCATACTGCTTGTTCTGTGCGTGATTTCCTGCAAGACAGGAATGTGTTCTGCCATGGCCAACGACGAGCCCGGATCTCAATCCAATTGAGCACGTCTGGGACCTATTGGATCGGAGGGTGAAGGCAAGGGCCATTCCCCCCAGAAATGACCGGGAACTTGCAGGTGCCTTGGTGGAAGAGTGGGGTAACATCTCACAGCATGTCCATGAGGAGGAGATGCACTGCAGTACTTAATGCAGCTGGTGGCCACAGTTACTTTTTGATTTTGACCTCCCCTTTGTTCAGGGACACATTATTAAATTTATGTTAGTCACATGTCTGTGGAACTTGTTCAGTTTATGTCTCAGTTGTTGAATCTTGTTATGTTCATAGAAATATTTACACATGTTAGGTTTGCTGAAAATAAACGCATTTGACAGTGACAGGACGTTTCTTTTTTTGCTGAGTTTACATGGAATTATTTCTGAAATATCAATATTTCCTTGAGATTAGACCCGGTTTTGCATTAGACACAAACACATGCGATTTATTAGGTACACCATCTAGCACCGGGTCTAACCCCCTTTACCTCCAGAACAGCCTGCATTCTTCGGGGCATGGAAACGTTGCTCAATTGGTATCAAGGGACCTAACATGTACCAGGAAAGCGTTCCACACACCATTACACTTCCGCCACCAGCCTGTACCGTTGACACCAGGCTGGATGGGGCCATGGACTCATGCTGCTTACGCCAAATCCTGACTCTGCCATCAGCATAACGCAACCAGGCGATGTTTTTCCACTCCTCAATTGTCCAGTGTTGGTGATCATGTACCCACTGTGGTTGTCTGCTGCAATAGCCCATCCATGACAAGGATTGACGAGTTGTGCATTCTGAGATGCCGTTCTGTTGTACTGCGCCATTCTTTTCCTATTTGTGGCACGCCTGTTAGCTTTCACAATTCTTGCCATTCTCCTTTGACTGCTCAACAAACTGTATTTGTCCATAGGACTGTTGCTGACTGTATAGTTTTATTTTTTGCTTGTCGCACCAGTCTCTGTAAAACCGAGGCACTGTCGCACGTGAAAAGCCCAGGAGGCTGTCTGTTTCTGAGATACTGGAACCGGCACGCCTACCACTGACTATCATACCACGTTCAAAGTACAGTAGCTTCGGTCACTTGTTTTGCCATTCTAATGTTCAATTGAGCAGTAACTGAATGCCTCGATGCTTGTCTGCCTGCTTTAAATAGCAAGCCACGGCCTCGTGACTCACTGTCTGTAGGAGCGAACCATTTTCGTGAACGGGGTGATGTACCTAATAAACTGGCCACTGCTGCAATAAACTGCTGCAATTACATTTTATACTGGTGAGACTTGAACACGGGAACAGTAGAAAATATTGTCAATATTTTCTATTGTTCCCGTGTGCAAGTCTCACCAGTATAGAACGTTATTGACACTTGAGTGCCATAATTTCTCCCTAAAATCAGTTGTTTTCTATGCTGTGTATTCTGAGCTAGGTTAGCCTCTTTGAATTCCACTATGTGTGCTATGCGAAGGAGAAAGAGTTCAGTATGCAAGGGAGAAAAGGACGAGCATTGTCTGTGCTGCAGTCTCTGCAGTCTTTCCTCCCTGGAATGTGGAGTAATCAGTCATATCCCCAGGCTTGGTTTTGGTGGTGGTGGGCTCTGATCTGCAGCCCTGCAGCCTGTGGTTGTGTAGCCCACCCACCCGTGGCTGTATGCTGCAGTGTGTGCAGCATGCTCTTACCTCCGACTCCCTGCCTGCTTCTGGTTGGTCCCCCTCAGTGTGGTCCAGACGGGAAGGCAGGCAAGCGGACAGCGGAGGAGGGAGAGAATATATTCTTTAACATAACTAATTATCATCGCATCTCCTTGAATGATGCCTCCTAAAGCTGAGGGCTTTAGTAAACACTGTGTTTGACCCCTTGACTGAGCCTAACGGGGAAGGCACTTGGTTGTACTGATGATTTTCTAACTCATAGTCCAAACACAGTACTGGAAGCATGTAATTTGAGTTTAAAAGGGATTTTGGTTCCCAATATATTTTATATTTGAGATTCTTCAAAGTAGCCACCCATTGAATTGATGACAGCTTTGCACACTCTTGGCATTCTCTCAACCAGCTTCATCTGCTAAATGACTAAAATGTTAATGGAGTCACCTAGAATGCATTTCAATTAACAGGTGTGCCGTGTTAAAAGTTAATTTGTGGAATTTCTTTCTTCTTAATGCGTTTGAGCCAATCAGTTGTGTTGTGACAAGGTATGGGTGGTATACAGAAGATAGCCCTGATTGGTAAAAGACCAAGTCCATATTATGGCAAGAACAGCTCAAATAAGCAAAGAGAAACAACAGTCCATCAAGGTCAGTCAATACGGAAAATGTCAAGAACTTCAAGTGCAGTCGCAAAAAACATCAAGCACTATAATGAAACTGGCTCTCATGAGGACTGCCACAGGAATGGAAGACCCAGAGTTACCTCTGCTGCAGAGGAGAAGTTCATTACAGTTAACTGCACCTCAGATTGCAGTCCAAATAAATGCTTCACAGAGTTCAAGTAACAGACACATCTCAACATCAACTGTTCAGAGGAGACTGCGTGAATCAGGCCTTCATGGTCGAATTGCTGCAAAGAAACCACTACTAAAGAACACCAATAAGAAGAAGAGATTTGCTTGGGCCAAGAAACACAAGCAATTGGTCCAACCGCTGTGTCTTTGTGAGACGCAGAGTAGGTGAATGGATGATCTCTGCATGTGTGGTTCCCACCGTGAAGCATGGAGGAGGAGGTGTGATGGTGTGGGGATGCTTTGCTGGTGACACTGTCGTGATTTATTTAGAATTCAAGGCACACCTAACCAGCATGGCTACCACAGCATTCTGCAGCGATACGCCATCCTATCTGGTTTGCGCTTAGTGGGACTATCATTTGTTTTTCAACAGGACAATGACCCAACACACCTCCAGGCTGTGTAAGGGCTATTTGACCAAGAAGGAGAGTGATTGAGTGCTGCATCAGATAACCTGGCCTCCACAATCACCCGACCTCAACCCAATTGAGATGGTTTGAGATAAGTTGGACTGCAGAGTGAAGGAAAAGCACCCAACAAGTGCTCAGCATATGTGGGAACTCCTTAAAGACTGTTGGAAAAGCATTCCTCATGAAGCTGGTTGAGAGATTGCCAAGAGTGTGCAAAGCTGTCATCAAGGCAAAGGGTGGCTACTTCGAAGAATCTCAAATTTTGATTTGTTTAACACTTTTTTGGTTACTACATGATTCCATGTGTTATTTCATAGTTTTGAGGTCTTCACTATTATCCTACAATGTAGAAAATAGTAAAAATGAATGAGTAGGTGTGTCTAAACCTTTGACTGGTACTGTATGTATCAAGATGTTCAAATTAACCTAAACCTCTTTCTTGTCCTCGTAGCAGGCGACCTTCCCAACTACAGCTTGACTACACTGGCCATTGTCATCGTGGCTCCGGTCATCGTGCTCATCATCCTCTCAGGCATCGCCATCCTGGTGTTCAGACGGATCCACCAGAACCAGATGGAGAGGCTGACGGCCCGGGAGGCTGAGTACGGCACAATAGACGGACTCATAGCCTCCAACGTGGGGGAGAGCACTCTGGCGGTGAGTAGGACATGATCATACTGTACCATACCATACCAGGGCCCATATTATCAGAATTTCAGAGCAGGAGAGCTTTACTAGGATCAGGTCCTGCATGTCCATAATAATGTAATTTCATTATGATCTCAAAGTTAAAACTGATCCTAGATCAGCACTCTACTCTGGTGAGAGGCTTTAAAAATATGGGCCAAGGTCTGGGATGGGCTGGGTGTGGTGCTGTGGTTTAAGTGGTTAGTCCACACAGTACAGCACTGAAAACATTTATGGACTCTCAAACGATGTCATTATGTTGAGCCCAAAGAGCATTTTTGTGTGCGCTAGACTAGAGAATGTGTGCTAGGTAGTCATGCACTTCCATGTTCCTGGTTGTCCATGTAGTAGGCCTATATCAACTGTGCCGGGATTCAATTTTTGTCCTGTGAATTGGGAATTAAAGTATTTGTTCTACAACTGTGATGGAAAATAGTCGTATTGTTTTGCCATAGCAAATTGAGTGCATGTGTTTCACGGATACACATGATTTCAACAAAATTGCTTGTTTTGTAGAATTTTGGTTACTCTAGTGATAGAATGCTTTAAGCTCGCAACTGTAATCAGCATTTGTTTGATAAACCCAAGAAAAACCCATAAATGTAATTAAAAACTTTAAGGAAAACACTAAACACAGAGTGTTTACAGCAAAGTGTGACCACTGACCAGTCTCCCTGATAACACTGGGCTGGGGTGTGCTAGACTAGGAATTGCTGATGTTGGATCTATTTCAAGCTATTTTCAAAGCCCATCAGAGAACTTGGCAACGGAATCCCCAAATATGCTGCCGCAGAATGTTTGTTTCAGTATAATTAAAAAGTGCTTGGCAGCACCCAGAGAAAAGTTATTAGGAGCAGTGGTTTCAGTAGACAATGTAAACACATTTCCTTAAAACACACGTAGCGCTCCCTCTGTAGCCCTGGGTGCCTAAATCTGTGGTGATTATGATTATGGTAATGCTGTGGCTGAATTTCCCACCGCTCCTCTCTCCCCTTCCACCGAACAGCCCAGATCTGCCCTCCCACCAAACAGAGATGTTAAACTCACGACAAAATGAGTCGTCATTTGGATTTACGGCTTCTATTTACCATTCCTTCCCTTTACTTGCTTTCACACAGCTGTTGTTTTACGCATGCAGCATCTATATTTTAAATGTTTCCATTTTATTCCTCTCTGCTTGTTAGTGTTTTTCTCAGCTGTATTTGAAGGAGTTGCTAAACACTGCCCCCTTGTGTCAGTCATGGTGCCCTGCAGAGGCCTGGAGAGATACAAAATAAAGATTTAGCAGCATTGTGCCTGTTTGGAGTCTAGGGCTGGGATTAGATCAAATCTATCAGCCCCTTCAGCTCACTAATCACCAGGAACTGCTGTTGTTTACCCATCAGAGAACTCTCTGTTGCTCCAGGGAGGCCAGACAGACAGAACCAACCAACAGCACCCTGAACAGCTTTTACCCCCAAGCCATAAGATTGCTTAATAGTTAACCAAATAGCTACCCGAACTATCTGCATTGACCCACGTTTGCACTAACTCTTTTGACTCATCACATGCACTGCTGCTACTGCTTATTATCTATCCTGTTGCCTAGAAACTTTATCCCTACCTTAATGTACATATCTACATCAATTACTTTGTACCCCTGCACATAAACTCTGTACTGGTACCCCATATATATATAGGCAAGTTATTGTTACTCATTGTGTATTTATTCCTTGTGTTACTATTATACTCTGCAATGTTTGGAAGGGCCCGTAAGTAAGCATTTCACTGTTAGTCTACACCTGTTGTTTGCGAAGCATGTGACAAAAATTTGATTTGACAGACAGACAGACATCTCTCCAGCGTGGCCACTACCCAGACAGGGAGACGGCTAGATAGCCCTTGGAGTCTGAGCAGTATGAGCACTGAGCAACTCCCGCTCCAATCAGGCACATCAAAGAGGGGGGACCATGTTAGCTCCCCCATCTGAATCCCAAATGCTCTGCTATGTTGAGTCTGGGGCAGGGCCACCTTTTTCATCTAGGGACTACAGGTTGATCTGATCCCTCTGGATGCTGTTCCTTTATTGGCTGTCCCTCCCCTTCTCTCAGGATTTGCTGGATCACTCGTGCACGTCGGGAAGTGGCTCCGGACTCCCCTTCCTAGTTCAGAGAACCGTCGCCCGACAAATCACACTCAACGAGTGTGTGGGTCAGTATCCAATAGTCTGTTCTCTCTTTGTTCAGTAACTGAGGTGTACATTTAGGCTCAGGGCATCCATTGTATGCATGGACATGGTTTTGGAGTAAAGTGTAGCACCTTTGGAACAGATTTGTTTTGCAAAACAGAGCCAGTGCTGTTCCCTGACCCTGGGAGTTTTCTTAGTATTATTTTTCTTTTTCTTCGTTTTCTTACAGCTCGGTCTGAAACATGGCCAAATGGCCAATGTAACTGGCAACAAAAATATTTTTAAGAGTTTCATGTCAAATGGGGATATAGTTAGATGTAGTTCATGCAAAAGGTCAAGTTGAGTAAGATGACCAAAATAAAAGTACTGCGTATTCCATTAACTAATGGTCTGCAGTTTTGTGTAACTACCTTTTATAAAAACCAATCAAATCAGCAAAACGATCTCTATATACAGAGATTCTGACATTTGAGTTGGGAGAGAACATTGGGGGTATTCATGTCGTATTTTTTTTATTTTTTTTGATGGGTTTATATTTTTCCACTGTATTTGATGGATGCCATTCTGTCATTTATGGCCAGATCTTTATTCCCAAAACACCTCAAAGTGCTAATCTGGGATCAGGTCACCCCTGTCCATATCATTTAATTCATTATGATCTAAAAGGCTAAACTGATCCTAGGTCAACACTACTTATGAATGCAGGGCTTATTGAGAACGTCTGCTGTGTTCATCTCTTCCCCCGTTTCCCCCTGCTATAGGTAAGGGGCGCTATGGTGAGGTTTGGCGAGGCCAGTGGCAGGGGGAGAGTGTGGCTGTGAAGATCTTCTCCTCCAGAGATGAGAAGTCCTGGTTCAGAGAGACTGAGATCTACAACACAGTGCTGCTGAGGCATGAGAACATCCTGGGTACGTACCTCCAGATACGCTCTGGGCGAAGCAACCCAGTCTGACAGGAGCTGCTCTATATGGGGCAAATCCAAACTCCCACTGAAGTGGAATGTTTTTTTTTTTTTTTTTACTTAGTCCTGCATTGGTGTCAATGGAAGACTAAGTGAAAATTTGACCTGTGGGAGTTAGGATTCACCGCTATCGGTCTGGCAGTGTTTTTTATTTTAGTGAAAAAATTTCTGTGTCATATTGATTTTGAAGAAAGACCTTTCCCAGCTTTTCCCTGAGCTCTAATAGCTGTCTGTGTGCGTCCTTGACTGCAGGCTTCATCGCTTCGGACATGACTTCTCGAAACTCGAGTACACAGCTGTGGCTGATCACCCACTTCCACGAGATGGGCTCGCTTTACGACTACCTGCAGCTGAGCACCCTAGACACAGCCAGCTGTCTGCGCATGGCTTTGTCCATCGCCAGCGGCCTGGCACACCTCCACGTGGAGATCTTCGGCACCCAGGGCAAGCCGGCCATCGCCCACCGAGACCTCAAAAGCAAAAACATACTCGTCAACAAGAACGGCCAGTGCTGCATCGCTGACCTGGGTAAGAGCATAGTGTTGTGGATATAAAGCAAACTGTATGCGTTCATTCAAAATTTGTATAGGTTGTTGTCAGAGGAGGCTGGTGGGAGTTGCTATAGGAGGATGGGCTCAATGTAATGGCTGGAATGGAATAAATGGAACCGTATCAAACATAGAAACCACATATTTTACTCTGTTCCATCTATTCCATTCCAGCCTTTACAATGAGCCCATCCTCCTATAGCTCCTCCCACCAGCCTCCACTGGTTGTTGTTCACTAGATGTTGTAAATTAATCAATTTAATGTGACCGTGTTCTGTTATTGTGTCCATATTATATATTGTGATAAAACAAACTGCGGAGAAAATGCCCTGTTTTGTTTCTTGTGATGCTGTAAAAGTGGTGGTAATTGCTTCTTTTCAAATTGTCGCCAACCCTCTTCCCTCGGTCTACCCTGTTTGTTGAGCATTAGAGGAAGAACAGCAGGGCAGGAAGCTTTTTAAGCCTTAACCAAACATGCATTAAGGGGCACTCATGTCCCATACTCAAAGTTCTCGGTGCTAATGATAAAAGTGTGAGTCATTTCAGGTAGCGCTGGCTACTCTTTGAGACTACTACTACGATCACGACCGTCACCCTTATTAAGTTGTTTATGAGCTGCATTCTGCTCGCATAGAAGATGTTGTTTTTGTCGTGACACGATCGTGATGTCATTTCATAAATAGGGTTGTTTTTGACAACAGTCCTAAGCTATCTGGTTGTTTTACCATTCCTATTTTAATCAAATCCACCAGGAGGACAGTATACTCTACTTTGGATATATTCATTTTATAGGGACAATCATTTTTGGTACATAGACACCATATTGAATCCTTTAATGATTTTGCAATGTGATTTAATAAAAAATCATGTATTTTTCTGTCCTAGGTCTTGCTGTGATGCATTTCCAAGACACAAATGAGTTAGACGTGGGCAACAACCCTAAAGTAGGCACGAAGCGCTACATGGCTCCAGAGGTCCTGGACGACTCCATCCAGATGGACTGCTTTGAGTCCTTCAAGAGAGTGGACATCTGGGCCTTTGGCCTGGTCCTGTGGGAGATTGCAAGGAGCACGGTCAGCAACGGTCAGTACAATACACGCTGAATGGTTTCTTCTGTTCTCTCTCACTCCTTTACTCATCTACCATCAAATCAAAGTTGATTTGTCATATGCACAGAATACAGTGTAGTGTACACAGTACAATGAAATACTTACTTGCAAGCTCTCCTCTCAAACAGTGCAGCAACTATAACAAGTATTCAGTAAAAAGTAGAATAAAAACAAACATCTAGAATGTCATGCATTTACTACATGACATGTAGTAGTTTGATCATACAGAGCTGCTGTAGGTATCAGTCTGTTACCTGCCTGTCTGTGTCTGCATGCTGTTCTTGGAATATTATTTGATGTCCCTGTCAGGGCATAATGAAAACCTATAATAATATGTAGAACATCATTTAGTGTCCAGCTGGAAGTGTTCCTTTCGCAGAAAGTCTAGCAATCGAATAGCAAAACTGCCGTATCACTTTGCTATTCACAAAGTTGCATTGGCTGTTGGCAGAACAAGTCAATGATTCAAATCAATATTTGGGCTGACAGTCTCATTGATGAAATGAGTGAATGTGACTTCAGAGGAGGACATGTATTTTTCATGTATTTTTCCTAATCTCTGTTACTTGCATATTGCTCAATATTAAAATTCCCATGCAGATTGGAGATCTCAGACATTTCTATGTTGTGTATTTTCCCCCATACTCTGTGTAGGCATTGTAGAGGACTACAAGCCTCCCTTCCATGACGTGGTGCCCAGCGACCCCAGCTTTGAAGACATGAAGAAGGTGGTGTGTGTGGACCAGCAGAGACCCAACATCCCCAACAGATGGTTCTCAGACCCAGTGAGTACAGAGACAAAGACAAGCAGAGGTGGAGAACTAGCTAATATGTTAATCATAAATAATACGAGCCTCTCCAAATCTGTCTATTTATAAACTGTGCAGAATGCTGCACTGTCTGCTAGGTTGTCCTTCATCAGACGGTTACTTGTGTCTCTGTAAACAGCCTGTCAGCCGCCAACCTCATTTCCCAGCTCCATTGAAAACATAATACGGTCTGATTGGCGGTTTAAATCTTTTGTGCTTAGAATTCTAGCCTTTATATTACTAATTCTGAAATAAACTCAGCAAAAAAAGAAACGTCCTCTCACTGTCAACTGCGTTTATTTTCAGCAAACTTTACTTTTTTTTTTTTTTTTTTTTACATTTAAGTCATTTAGCAGACGCTCTTATCCAGAGCGACTTACAGTTAGTGAGTGCATACATTTTTCATACTGGCCCCCCTGTGGAAATTGAACCCACAACCCTGGCGTTGCAAACGCCATGCTCTACCAACTGAGCTACATGGGAAGACTAAGTATTTGTATGAACATAAGATTCAACAACAGACACAAACTGAACAAGTTCCACAGACATGTGACTAATAGAAATTGTTCAGGGACACATTATTCGAAGGGGGGTCAAAATCAAAAGTAACAGTCAGAATCTGGTGAGGCCACCAGCTGCATTAGGTACTGCAGTGCATCTCCTCCTCATGGACTGCACCAGATTTGCCTGTTATTGGTGTGAGATGTTACCCCACTCTTCCACTAAGGTACCTGCAAGTTCCCTGACATTTTTGGGGGGAATCAATTTTATTTTATTTATTTTATATAGCCCTTCGTACATCAGCTAATATCTCGAAGTGCTGTACAGAAACCCAGCCTAAAACCCCAAACAGCTAGTAATGCAGGTGTAGAAGCACGGTGGAAAAACTCCCTAGAAAGGCCAAAACCTAGGAAGAAACCTAGAGAGGAACCAGGCTATGAGGGGTGGCCAGTCCTCTTCTGGCTGTGCCGGGTGGAGATTATAACAGAACCATGCTAAGATGTTCAAAAATGTTCATAAGTGACAAGCATGGTCAAATAATAATCAGGAATAAATCTCAGTTGGCTTTTCATAGCCGATCATTAAGAGTTGAAAACAGCAGGTCTGGGACAGGTAGGGGTTCCATAACCGCAGGCAGAACAGTTGAAACTGGAATAGCAGCAAGGCCAGGCGGACTGGGGACAGCAAGGAGTCACCACGGCCGGTAGTCCCGACGTATGGTCCTAGGGCTCAGGTCTCTCAGTTGGCTTTTCATAGCCGATCATTAAGAGTTGAAAACAGCAGGTCTGGGACAGGTAGGGGTTTCGTAACCGCAGGCAGAACAGTTGAAACTGGAATAGCAGCAAGGCCAGGCGGACTGGGGACAGCAAGGTGTCAGCATGCCCGGTAGTCCTGACGTATGGTCCTAGGGCTCAGGTTCTCAGAGAGAAAGAGAGAACGAGAGAATTAGAGAGAGCATACTTAAATTCACACAGGACACTGGATAAGACAGGAGAAGTACTCCAGGTATAACCAACTGACCCCAGCCCCCCGACACATAAACTACTGCAGCATAAATACTGGAGGCTGAGATGGCCCTAGCCCTCACCCTCCTATCCAACAGGTCCCAGACGTGCTCAATGGGATTGAGATCCGGGCTCTTCGCTGGCCATGGCAGAACACTGACATTCCTGTCTTGCAGGAAATCACGCACAGAACGAGCAGTATGGCTGGTGGCATTGTCATGCTGGAGGGTCATATCAGGATGAGCCTGCAGGAAGGGTACCACATGAGGGAGGAGGATGTCTTCCCTGTAACGCACAGCATTGAGATTGCCTGCAATGACAACAAGCTCAGTCCGATGATGCTGCGACACACCGCCCCAGACCCCAGACCGTCCACCTCCAAATAGATCCCGCTCCAGAGTACAGGCCTCGGTGTAACGCTCATTCTTTCGACGATAAACGCGAATCCGACCATCACCCCTGGTGAGACAAAACAGTGACTCGTCAGTGAAGAGCACTTTTTGCCAGTCCTGTCTGGTCCAGCGACGGTGGGTTTGTGCCCATAGGCGACGTTGTTGCCGGGGATGTCTGGTGAGGACCTGCCTTACAACAGGCCTACAAGCCCTCAGTCCAGCCTCTCTCAGCCTATTGCGGAAAGTCTGAGCACTGATGGAGGGATTGTGCGTTCCTGGTGTAACTCGGGCAGTTGTTGTTGCCATCCTGTACCTGTCCCGCAGGTGTGATGTTCGGATGTACCGATCCTGTCTGCCACTGCGAGGACGATCAGCTGTCCGTCCTGTCTCCCTGTAGTGCTGTCTTAGGCGTCTCACAGTATGGACATTGCAATGTATTGCCCTGGCCACATCTGCAGTCCTCATTCCTCCTTGCAGCATGCCTAAGGCACGTTCACGCAGATGAGCAGGGACCCTAGGCATCTTTCTTTTGGTGTTTTTCAGAGTCAGTAGAAAGCCTCTTTAGTGTCCTAAGTTTTCATAACTGTGACCTTAATTGCCTACCGTCTGTAAGCTGTTAGTGTCTTAACGACCGTTCCATAGGTGCATGTTACAATGAAGATCTGTGAAGTTATTTGGATTTTTACGAATCATCTTTGAAAGATAGGGTCCTGAAAAAGGGATGTTTCTTTTTTTGCTGAGTTTATATATTTTTAAATACTTTTTTGGTTATTGTATTGTTTCTAGATATTACTGCACTGTTGGAGCTAGAAACACAAGCATTTCGCTGCACCTGAAAGAACATCTGCAAATCTGTGTATGGGACCAATAAACATATTTGATTTTAAGAATAATTGCTTTACCCTTTGCTTTGCGGAACTATACACTTTCACAGTAAAAGAATGAGAAGAAAACAACGTTATTTTGCGTGTGTTCATTACTTTATACCTGGGATATCATTTTGAAACGTGAAAAGTAAAAGAATTGCTGGAGATGGACTTTAACTCTGATTTCCTCTTGCTTTCCAGACTTTAACGTCCATCGCAAAACTTATGAAGGAGTGCTGGTACCAGAATCCATCTGCCAGATTAACGGCACTACGCATCAAAAAGACACTGACAAAAATCGACAACTCTCTGGACAAAATTAAAATGGACTGTTGAGCTTCTTCCTCATTGGTGCGAAGGGAGAGGAGACCTAAAGGCCTTTAAAGACGTCCAGCAGGCAGTTCGGTTCCCCTGGACAACACACAGGAGAAAAAAGGACTGGTTGGGCTCAGTGCTCTTAAAGTGGCACATTGTATTTATTTTTAAACCCTTGGTGGGACACATTTTGGCATCCAAAGATGGCTTAGAGGGCATTTAAAAGACTGCCAATAGTCTTGGATATTAGGTGACTATCCCTTTTAAGACATAGGAATATTGAACTAATAGTCACGTTCTTCAAGGAAGAAACTGTTACCTGGGCATTTGAGTACTGTATATCGCTTTAGAGCTGCCGATTTTTCTTTGACACGACTTAAGTTTGAGAAACGTCTGAACATATTTAATTTAGCAATATTGGCTGTGCTTTATTGCTGTTATTGCACTAGCAATCTTTGCATTCTTGGCTTGCACTGTTGCATTAGGAAAAAAACAACTTGCCAAAAATGTTTTGGTTTATAGTCCATACAAACTCCCTATCTTAACAGTAATCAGAATGAGGAGAAAATAGTTAAGTTTTACTTTGACTGCATCTCTCTTGCACTGCTGTTTACAATACTGTTAGAACAATTCTCTTGGTATTTCATCCAACCTGTAACTAATTTAGCTAACACACTGTGTTGTAGAATTGTGCTGCAGACAGTTATAGCCACTCTTTACTTCTTCCTTCGGAGATGTCATCTAACATATCCTGTCGCAGAAACTTTTTATATCGCCATACATTTCACATTATGTACCTGTTCTTTGTTTGGTTGTTTCATCAGCTTTGAGACAAATCCTAAAAGAGCAAATAAAAGATTTACTAGATGACGCTGAACTCAATTCATACAGAAGCAGAAGGTATGCCTGTAAAGTAATTGTCTTAATTTGTGCATTGTCAAAGTAATTGAAGTCAGACTTCAGCCCTTTTTTATTTTTTACATTTTATATCAAAGTAGTGATTTCTATTAATTAAATAGAGAAAACATGTAGATGCCATCTGTCTCATCTGTCACAGTTTACAACATGCCATGATAGGGTTGCAAAATTCTGGTAACCTTCCCAAAATCCCCAGGTTTTCCAGAAATGACAGTTGGAAGATTCACAGACTTTAGGTGGGAATAAACAGTAAATCTGGAATACTTTCCAGGTTTTCCATGCAATCCTGGTTGAAGTTTGTGAACGTTACCACAGTTTTGCAACTATGTCAGGATAAGTAATATGCTCGTGGTGAGTACTAGCAGTGGTTGTTATGCAAATCCAGAGCGTATTTTAATTTCATCAGCTCTGCATATTTTCCTTTGTCCCCCCCGGGCTAGACAGTTCTCTTGCCTTGGCATGGCGCAGCCCCTAAAGTCTTACTGACCTGCAGCTGTTCACTGCACAAAGGAACTTTTCTTGTGTCCAGTTTGTCGACTACTAAACAAATAATGAAATGCAGCAAAGTATGTAGGGCATGTTAATCCATTTCCATATTAAACACTGCTCAATCTCAGCTGTAAAATGCAACAAATACATTTTCATTTGGGAAATGTCAGAGGGTTTGCTAGGCCCTAATGACTAAATTGAGCTGCTTAAAAATTGTGGAGCACCTGCCCGAACAGAAACAAAAGGCAGGTCTAGAATGGTACAGTAAATGGTGTCACCTGCACTCATTTGTATTCCTGAATCAGCATGGGGCCGGTAAAGGGCAAAGCAATGGATGTCAGTTGTCTGCCAGGACTGACTGGCACCCAAAATGAGCATCTCCAAATTTAGAATATTTTATAGACAACATCCTAGGAAATATGAGTCTGTCCCAAATGGCACCCTATTCCCTATATAGTGCACTACTTTTGACCAAGGCCAATACCAATCTGGTCAAAAGTAGTGCACTTTATAGGGAATAGTGTGCCATTTGAGACTGATCCACGGTCAATATTAACTGCCATTTTATCGGTCTCCTGACTTACTGTGAACTGATCCACAATGACCAGATGTAGTTTTTAACAAGGTCTAATTTCGCTGCTTTGTGTATCAGGCCTGTTGTTCACTCACTTTGCTTCCCATTTACATGCAAATTATAGAAAATGGCTTTTTAGACTAATTCCCACTACAGGACTGCTAAACGACAGCAATGCATATTATTTGTGTACTTGTTTTCCCTCAGCTTTTAGGTTTGGTAGCTTTTCAATTAAAACATTGAAGCAAAGTGTTGCCTGTGGTGATAATGATCCTTCAACAGAGCTCAGAGATCCTGAGGGCCTCGAATTCTTCATATTCATTTCTAGAGTTCATTTGTCCAACTTCATCACTAAGCTGGCAAATCATTTTCTTTGAAGCAGCTGCTTTTTCAGCTTCCTACACAGCCTGACACCACGGAAAACACACACACACACACACACACACACACACACACACCTTTCTCTTTCCCTCTGTGTTGCTTTCTCTCATTCTTTCCATCTCCTGAAGCTGTGCTATTTATCCAGGGGCAGCATGTCATTTAGGTAGCCTTGGCCTTGAAGACTAGAGAGATCAGGTGAGAATGAAAGTGAATACAACCCCCACATTCAAAGAGGGTTTGCTAGTAGGTTCGAAATGGGTTACATTTCCATTTTAGTCATTTAGCAGACACTTATCCAGAGCGACTTACAGTAGTCAGTGCATACAATGTGGTCACCCATGGCTGTTGTGTAGTGATGTTCATGCAGGTAGCTGTATGGGAGGCCTTCAGTCAGATTCACAGACGATAGGAAGGGAACACTGCCGCTACCTCGCCCTTCAACTAAGGTGCAAGAGGAAATAAATCTATTCTTGAAGGACAGTGGAAGTGTTTATTGTTAAAACCTGATGGCTAAGGACGCATTCGTCAATAAAGAAGCACTTTTTATCAAGTTCCACTGTCCTGCAAGGATTCAGTAAATAGTACAGTACTCGAGTGGTTGTTGGACTTGGTCTGTATATGGAATACCCTTAACCTTATTCTGTTGCCCAGTTGGCTGACCTCTACATTCTGAAAGTTACAGCACTTAAATCTACACTAGGGACCTGATATGGAGGACAGAGTCCCAGACTACACCAGAGGCATGCCAGGGGGTGAGGGACTGTTGAGCAGAGAAGTACAGTTTTTTTTTCTTCGAAATGTACTACATTGTTTTCATAACTGGAATGGCGTTGCCGAGAGGCTATAAATTGGGCTGAGTTTTTCCTGACCATGTGACCGGACCAGGAGGTATGCCGGGGCTTGAGGTACCGTAGAACAGCTTGCAGGGTGCATACAGTATATGGCGCTAGTGCAGTGCCCTGGCTATTGTACCATGTAGTTTGGCGCCAAGTGTAAACAGAGGCTGAAGTAAATCACTTGTGAGACGCCTTGGTGTAATGGCTTTGATTGTACACTGTACACTGACAGCTGCAAGGTTGTGTCCAGCTCTGGTGAATCCCTACACATTTGCAACAGTAGGAACAGTATTTTACTGGTATAGCACCTACCGGGATATGCAGATAGCATTCACCATGGCCTTTCATCAATTAAAACAATGTGTGTTCATGTGTTTTTGGTATCCCTGGTGAATTACAAATGTATCAGGTTAGTTTGACCATTGGTTTTAGATGGACAATTAGTTGGTAGATACACCACTTTATTTCAAGGTACCCTTTATAAACACGATATGTGGTCCTCTGTAGCTCAATTGGTAGAGCATGGCGCTTGTAACGGCAGGGTAGTGGGTTTGATCCCCGGGACCACCCATACGTAAAAATGTATGCACACATGACTAAGTCGCTTTGGATAAAAGCGTCTGCTAAATGGCATATTATATTATTATAGGGATTATAAGCAGTTTAGAAACTGTGAAATGGGAAATCTAAATATTGCTTATCTTACATGTTGATTCTGGTGACAATATTTCTTTACTGGATGCAAGGTGGTATTGTCTTCTGATATGCCTACATAGGTGAATCAGAAAAGGAGAATAGAGTTGATTGTGGTGCCAGATGCAGAGGTGAGTCATCATACCTCACAAACAATGTTTTCATTTGACTGCTATGTTGTTTTGGGAAAACCCAAGCACAGGACAATTTTATAAATGGAACATGTATTGAATGTAGGCTGCAGATTTTGTTCATCACAGACAAGTGTGCTCCACAATTTAAATGGATTAAACAGACCAGGATATTCAGCACTCATTCACTTGTCTTTATCAGTGGGCTAAACCCAGCTAGCACATAAATGTTCTGAGAACCATACGTTTCTTAGACCTTGGTGAGAGCGTGGTTGTCCTTTGGTTATTTTGCATATTACCTTCCCACAACTTTCTGGGAATTCTGCAGGATAATTGCTTGGCTTTGGAACATTATCAGCAGCACATTTAAGGAACGTTATTTTCTTGGTATTTCATTACTTTAACAGAATGTAATGTTCTAGGAACATTCTCAAACTGGTTTGACATTGGGAATGTTCTCAAATAGTTCAGAGAACGTTAACAACGCTCTTCTATGGGGAATTTCCATACTTCAGCATAATGTTTCCTACAGGTTTCCTCATGGTTCTATTTAAAGTCATGTTCTCAAATTGTTCAGAGAAGATTAAAGCCCCCATGCAGTCTTTTAAAATGTTATTTTAAAATTGTCACTGTCTAAGTCACTTAAGGTATTATTAAAAAATATATATATACACACACACACACACACACACACACACACACACACAGGGGAAAAAAAGTATTTAGTCAGCCACCAATTGTGCAAGTTCTCCCACTTAAAAAGATGAGAGAGGCCTGTAATTTTCATCATAGGTACACGTCAACTATGACAGACAAAATTAGGAAGAAAAATCACATTGTAGGATTTTTAATGAATTTATTTGCAAATTATGGGGGAAAATAAGTATTTGGTCAATAACAAAAGTTTCTCAATACTTTGTTATATACCCTTTGTTGGCAATGACACAGGTCAAACGTTTTCAGTAAGTCTTCACAAGGTTTTCACACACTGTTGCTGGTATTTTGGCCCATTCCTCCATGCAGATCTCCTCTAGAGCAGTGATGTTTTGGGGCTGTCGCTGGGCAACACGGACTTTCAACTCCCTCCAAAGATTTTCTATGGGGTTGAGATCTGGAGACTGGCTAGGCCACTCCAGGACCTTGAAATGCTTCTTACGAAGCCACTCCGTTGCCCGGGTGGTGTGTTTGGGATCATTGTCATGCTGAAAGACCCAGCCACGTTTCATCTTCAATGCCCTTGCTGATGGAAGGAGGTTTTCACTCAAAATCTCACGATACATGGCCCCATTCATTCTTTCCTTTACACGGATCAGTCGTCCTGGTCCCTTTGCAGAAAAACAGCCCCAAAGCATGATGTTTCCACCCCCATGCTTCACAGTAGGTATGGTGTTCTTTGGATGCAACTCAGCATTCTTTGTCCTCCAAACACGACGAGTTGAGTTTTTACCAAAAAGTTATATTTTGGTTTCATCTGACCATATGACATTCTCCCAATCCTCTTCTGGATCATCCAAATGCACTCTAGCAAACTTCAGACGGGCCTGGACATGTACTGGCTTAAGCAGGGGGACACGTCTGGCACTGCAGGATTTGAGTCCCTGGCGGCGTAGTGTGTTACTGATGGTAGGCTTTGTTACTTTGGTCCCAGCTCTCTGCAGGTCATTCACTAGGTCCCCCCCGTGTGGTTCTGGGATTTTTGCTCACCGTTCTTGTGATCATTTTGACCCCACGGGGTGAGATCTTGCGTGGAGCCCCAGATCGAGGGAGATTATCAGTGGTCTTGTATGTCTTCCATTTCCTAATAATTGCTCCCATAGTTGATTTCTTCAAACCAAGCTGCTTACCTATTGCAGATTCAGTCTTCCCAGCCTGGTGCAGGTCTACAATTTTGTTTCTGGTGTCCTTTGACAGCTCTTTGGTCTTGGCCATAGTGGAGTTTGGAGTGTGACTGTTTGAGGTTGTGGACAGGTG